CAGGAATTATATCTTATGAATATAAGAGCTGATTTAACTAGTCTGATATACTAGGATACTTAATTTTTAGGTTTTAATATCAAGGCACTTAGGCCTCAATCAATAATCTTTTCATATTATTATTGTACTAAATATATTCTAAATCTAGAAGTAAAAAAGTATTAAAAAAAATAGTAATTCAATTAATAAAGTATGTTAATTAATGATTCAAATCAAAAATTTAACTCACCTTTATGATAAACTTTATCTTTTATATGATTTAAAAATTATATCTTATATTAAGCTTATTATTAATGTGAAGGTTTGCTAGTATTCAACATATTATATGTTAAAACATTCAAAACAACTTGAACTTATATTAGTTTTATTTACTATTGATTATTAATTTATTAATGAATTTTATCCTGATAAATCTAATTAAATTATAATTAAGATAAATTAAATTATTTTTATTTATAAATAATTCAAAAAGAATTTTAAACGAATTTTTTAAATTCTACAAATAGGATACTTTTTTTTTTTGAATCCTTGAAGAAACTATTAAATATTTATCAATATTATCTTATCCAACTATAGGTGATATTCATTATATTTTTGAAACTATTCAGATTAATCTAAAAGAATATATTTTAAAAAAAAATTTTACTCAACCTTAGATGACATTTGCAATGTTCTATAAAATTGAAGAATACTGGCAAATTATGGATAAAGCTTTAAATATTTTAGCAATATTGGATCCTCAGACTAAACTTTCTGCCTTTTAAATGAATCATTACAAAATACTTATATATATATTTAAAGCAAATTTAAAATTTATGAGAAAAAATTTTCTAATTTAGTTTAATCATTTACAAATACCATTAGCTATTACTGTTAATTCTACTTATCAATATTTTGCAAGATTTTGACAAAAAGAAATGACATTCAATTTCATATCATTGCTTTCTTCAACAACAATATCAGAATTAGACATTATTTTTCATTACTTGTTAATAAAGAAACTGATCTTCTTTTATAGTAGCAAACATATGTTAAAGAATATCTGATTTTAAGTAAAATGGCATGAGACTACCTTACAATTCAAACAATAAGTGTTGTATCAAAACAGGCATTTTCAATTGCTGGAAATACAATAAGCAAAATGCGTAATTGCTTATTACTGGAAACAGCAAGGTCATGTTTGTGTTTAAAAAGTTAGATTATTAATAAATTAGGAGAATAAGTGTTTCAAAAATTTATTTTAAATTCTATTAATGCAAATGGATTATTTTATATTAAATAATGAATTGAATTGAATAAATAATAAGAACAATTATGAATCCTTTATAATTTTTTTTTTATAAATTCAATAAAAAGTAATATTTTAAAATTTCTACATATCAGACCATTAGTATAAATTAAAATTGACAAGAAGTATAATTAATTACCGAACAGTAGTATAATTAATTACATATAAATTTAAATAATACAGTTGATAAATTAATTGACCTACAGTACGTACTGTAACTTGAGTATGTGTCGCAGAAGTAATAACTGAGAATTAGAAACCAGTTCTTAAGAACCGGTTCTAACTTGAGCTGACTTGGATCAGTTTTTTAGACCAGTTCTAAAAGAAACCAGTTCAACCTGTAGAACTGACCCATCCCTAGAACAAATATATGCCGAGTTGATCTGTTATATTTTAAAATTTTAACCAATCATGTCAATGTGGACTATGCTATTTATTACAGGAGATAGATAATTCTTTTAAAAATGAACTAAACCTAAAAGTAATTCTACTTGCTAGCGCGTTTTTTTTTTCAGAACATTCTGTTAATCCGTTTATTTGATCTGATCTTCAAATGATTGGCTACTTAATTTTTAACAATCGGATCAGATCAAAATGGAACAGAATTGAACAGCTATTGAGTCAATGCGTGTCTAGAAATATATAGTCCTTCGCGGACTAATAATGTATTATTAAAAAATGAATAAATTATTATTACCTTAATATATCATAATAGAACTTGAATTTCCTTCGTTATTATCAATTTTGTTATTTAGTGAATTATTCTTTTTTATCTTTTTTAATATTCATTTTTTTTAGACGGTCTTATTACTGTATATATGTTTAATATCAGCTCTAGTGAATAAATCAAAAATGTTGATTGTTAAAATATTTGCCAATTTTATTTATAACCGCGACTTTCGTTTTTATTTTCATTTCATTAATACTCACGCAACCTTAAGTATAAATGAAATATTTTTGATAACATGAAATAATAAAGGTTATGTATATAAAATCAAAATGTAATAAGTTTTTATATATTAAGAATGTTCCAAATATCAAAGATTTCTGTTTTATATATTTCTTTAATTATGGAATATTATGGATTAACTCTTCTTTACGACCTGAAATACTTCATATTCATCGATGACGAAGTTGCTTGGAATGTTAATGTTAGTATACGTGTGTCCATTATTTGCACACCAATTATTTCCTTGTCCACGCAAATCATGCCCACCACCAAAAGTTGGTCCATAACTACTGTGATGATATATCGCATTCTGATGGTTTTGAAAAACACGACCTATTTTTGCAGAATTGACATTATTACTATCTGTAATGTTAAACAAAAAGCTATCCCCTGTATTTGCATATTGACCATTCTGATACCAATTCAAAGGATTGTAACCACCAATAATTTGCTTTGAATCTTTAACTCTTGCAATTGATATTGTGGCACCCTTGTTATCACATAATTGATGAAACTTTGCAAAATCAAAACCATCTCTAGTACCACGAAGAAGGAGATTAAATTTATATGGAACGTCTTTTACGGTATAATCTTCACTTCTTTTATCGATCCACTTCGCAAAAAGCCTGAATAAACGTCTATTGACAAATACAGAATTAAAATTAGTTTTAGCATTCCTAGGAGGCTTGAAATTAACCGTTGGAATAGAATTTGGAACCATATGATATCGAAGGACATCATTGAGCAAATCTTGAGGCAAGAAATTCCTATACGGATATACTTTTAAGAAAAAGTCTTCCTTGGAGATATCATAGAATCTAATTAAAGGGATATATTCTTGTATAATTTGTTTAATTTCTGTTGAAGTTTCTGTGGAATCTGAGGACCACATAGGTTCATTATCGATTTTTAGGTGTCGAATAAAAAGCCATCTAAGAAGAGATTCCCATATCTCAATTTCTTCCATATTAAGGTCATCACTTTGAAGTACCATTTTAATAATTGATTTGTCTAATGTTGGATTTTGAGATGTAAAGAGAATTCTCGGATCTTCGCAAATGATTTCAAGACAATCATCTTTTATGTTATTGAAGGCTTCAATCTGGTAAATGTTTTCAAGTGTACCAATAGGATTCTCCTGCAAATATCCTTCTTTCTCAGAAATATATCCTTGGATACGTTCTATCAATTTGTATAATCCGAGTTCATCACATGCAACTAATAATCGCGAAACTAGACTCTTATTGCATTGATCAATGTCTATAATTCCCGTATATAAATATCTAGAGAATTGTAAAAAATAAGATAGTTGATCCCGTATCGAACAAAATCCTTATTAAAATAAGATACAATAAATTTGTTTTACTTACCTGAGGATCAATTGGAACACGTCAGAGGAGATATTTGGTTTTGTAAAAATAAATTTTCCGTTATCATCTTTTTCTTCCCAATCTTTAGATAATGCTCTTTTAAAATATGATGATCTAGCACGAAGTATAGATGAATGCGCTCGAAGTTCCTTCTCATCTGAGTCTTCTCCAGCTTTAATTATAACATCATAATCATCACATTCTTCCAGAACTCTTTCAAAGTCTTTAATAACCTCTAAATGATAGTTCTCACTGGCTGACATATATCTTATGATTTATATTAACCTTAATAGTCTAACAAATTATTAGGGAGTCAAAAATGAAGGAACAAAAAAACCATTTCTTTTCGTTTTTATATACAATTGTTCCATGACAAAATGTTTTCAATTTATTCACTAATTCACGTGTTTAGCTAATTAGCTTGTTTATTTATCGATGACAAAATTGCAAAAAGGCGTAAAATATTGCCAAACTAAACAATGAACGCATACTTAACTATACTTTATTAGTCAGATTCAAGAAATCAGGTTTTGGCAACTCCATATAATGTCCGAAATCGAAATAAAGTGTAATACATTTAATAATAAATGCAAAGAAAACATCCATTATAGCTTGTAAATTATTTTTGTGTATTTTAGAAAGTATTTTCTAATTTTTTTGATAACGAAAGGATAGTAAATCATATGATCCGTAACGTGATTTTAATAGCCCATATAATTAACCAAGTTAATAAACAATAAATGAGAAATAGAAAAAAAAAGTTATTTGTCACTATTAATTGAACGAGCCACGATTAACACGAATTGATCAATTTGATAAAAAAAAATATCGAACGCAGTTGCGCGTTCATGATTCTGCGCCTCCCATCTTTCTTTGTCGATTATAAAAAAAATGAACGGTAACTCGTAATCCGATTTTTTAATAATTAACAATGATTATAGTAAATCCATGTATTAGGCAATTTTTTTTTTAAATTATACAATATTACAAGAAATTAATTACCTTGTTTATATAGGAATCTGTGTCCTTGCAATAAGCCTTTTGTTTTCCGGAACTTTAAGCCTAATAGCTATTGGGAATCAAAGTTGATTTACCTAATATTATAACATACATAGCAAGATGAGAATATCACTATTATTTTTTAGAATTTTTCAATATCTTTTTGTATCTTCATAATAAAGGAAAGGGTAAACTGGTTGCATTCGAACTCATTATGTAATGGAATAATTTCATGTTTTTATTTTAAAAATACATTGAGAAAAATAATCTTTGCTGTCATTAATTTTCACGTGAAATATCAATATCTCACGTGCCCGGTACTACAAGACATGATAAAATTGTCGCATCTAGATAAAAATTTTCTTTCAAACTTGATTTTTTTTTTCAATTAAAAATGGGAAAAAGAAAAGTAAATGATGATAAAATTGATTCTATGGATATTTCAGGAGAAGAGTCGGATGAGGAAGGAGTATCTGATGGAGGAGAGAACGAACATTTGGAAGTAAAGTATAACAATGATTCTTGCATTTCGAGTTTATCAAATTAAACCATTTTCCTTACGAACCTACCTTACGCTTTTTTTTACGGACCAATTTTCCCTTGATTTTCCCCTTTAATGTATTTGTTAATTATAGAACGAAATAGTCGATGTAGATTTTGATTTTTTTGATCCAAAAGAAATAGATTATCAAACGATAAAACAATTAATGATACAATTATTTTCAACGGATGCAGAATTATTTAATCTAAGCGAATTGTCGGAATTGATTATAAGTCAACCATTATTAGGTACAACCGTAAAAATTGATGGAGCCGATTCTGATCCTTATGCTTTACTTACCGTGTTGAATATGAATGAACATAAGGTAAACACGTATAACTTCGGTTTCATTTATTTTATATATATATTATTTTAATGATCTAAAATATATTATTTATTATTTAGGATAAAGAATGTATAAAACAATTAAAAAATTATTTAATAGAAAAAACAAAGAAAAATACAAATTTAAACGAAAAATTAGTTGGATTATTAAAAGATACTTCACAATTTCATATCGGATTAATATTAAGCGAAAGATTAATAAATATGCCGGTACAACTCGTCCCACAAATGTATATAATGTTACAAGAAGAAATACAATGGGCTATAGAAGATGTAAGTAACTTAACGTTTTGAAAAAAATAATTTTTTCAAATTTAATTTAAAAAAAACTTGTTTGTTTAGAAAGAACCTTATGAATTTGAATGGTATCTGATCATAACTAAAACTTATAGAGAGGTTGATTCCACTTTGGATGAAGAAGATGAGATGCCAAAAAAGAAAATGAAAAAAGTCAAAAGTGTATGTATAAAATGATTCGAATCCTTTAAAATTTCTTAATCTAAAATCATATTCACGCGTAAATTAATTAATTATGTTAGTCTGAGCCGACGATTTTTTATTTCCATCCCGAAGACGAAATCGTTGAAAAGGTTAAATTAAAATTAATTCATTTTAATTTGAATTTCATTTCATTCAAAATTCACTCTTGATGTTAAAAAAAAATTCTTTATTATATAGATTGCAAATTTTCAATGCAATTTTAAATTAACAAAACAAACTGTTACGTCAGATTCGAAAAGGGCCTTTTCGGATTTTGGCATTACACCTGCGATGAAAATATTTTTATTACATCAAAGTAAAATGGATCAACTAATTAATGATTTAGAAGCAGCTTGCAAATAGAAAACCTTTATTTGAATAAATTATTAAGATATAATTGATGTGACAGATATATGCAATAGTGTAATAATATATTGACAATCTATTATTTAATTTGGTTTGTGTATTAGCAGCCTTCCCAAGTAATTTTAACTCTACCATCATCTAAATCAGCAATTTTCTATAATTTAAGAAAGAAATTAGCATACATTGTAATTTAATTAATTAATTAAACTTGTAAAGTTGATTACCTCGAATGCTTTTGACGACATATCAATATCTCCACGTTTACATATTGGACACTTGACAAAAAGAAAATGTTGATTTAAAAATTTATATTTTAAAGAGAGGTTAGTTTCGTTAAATCAATTACCTTGTCAACTAATTTTACTTTAACAGAACCTTTTGGACCCGTAACCTTTATACATTTACCGCATATTGGCGAATCTCCCGGGTTTGCAAATTTACCATATTGTGGTGCATTCTATAATACAGTATAAGAAATTAGATAAGTGATTATTAATTTAGGAAGCTAATAATGCTAAAGGAAGAAAAATTGAAAATTATAACTTACTAATGCTGCAACAAATTCACTGTCATAATTTTGCCAACCGCATGATCCAATACCTACACCAGGATCTAAATATCAAATTCAAAAGAAAATTAGAGTTTAATTTACATTATTCATTATTCCTAAAGAGGACTTATGTAATTACTTACCGTAATAAGTTCCATCCCCTTTACCGGTCATATCAATACCAGGTTCACCATCATCTCGTGAAAATCCACCAGCGGCAGCAATGATAATTATGATTAATAGTGCAATTAACAATAAAATTAATAAAATTAAAAATGCCATCTTATATTTTTTGAAAAATTCAGATGCTTTTGGAAATTTCTTTGAAAACCATGTGGTAAATTTTTTTGTATGTTTCGAGAAAAATGCTGATATCGGTGAAAAAAAGGATGATTTGGATTTGTCATTATTGGAGGAGGAATTATTAGAATTTGATTTGTTGAAAAAAGGAAGTGATGGAAGTGGTTTTTCTTTGTTGATTGCCATTTTTCATAAAATAATTTATTTTAATTTTTTTTTTTTTTTGTTTTACAATTCAAAAAAGAATGATTGTTGTTTTTAACAAGGAATGTTACGAGTTTTGGACCAGCAAAATATCTGACTTTAAAAATATTTTTTTAAAGATTGTGAGATTAAAATGTTAAATGATAAAGGAATTAATTGTAAGGTAAAAAAATTTTTTTAAAAAAGAAAAAAAAAGAATGGAAATCAATTCAATTTTTTTTTTTCTTTTTTAAACAAAAAAAAATTCCTATTTGAAAATAAAATAAAAATAAGATTAATTAGATGATGGTTAATTCGTCATGGCTTTTTTTTTTTTTTTTTCGAGTATAGCAGCCAAATGAGTAATTTAATTTTTTAATAAAATCGACAGTTATTTATATTGTTTAAGAATTAATTTCTTTAACCAAATCGTCATTATAGTTGGTTCGCATGTAACTTTAAAAGGAATACAAAAATGGTGGGACCTGCAAACATAACAAGGGTAATTTTGTGGGGTAAACAAACATCAAATCAAATTCCCAGAATTCAAGATAACTGACATTCAGGTAAACTGGGTAGGATTTTACAAGACAGCAAGTAATAACGATTCTTTATTCTTTTATGCAATAATAATACTTATTATAAATGTTTGGTAAATATAAAGCTTATTAACTAAATATGGGCTTATTCCATATTAAGTGAAGATCGAAATCAAATCGTTACACCAGTTCTTTGTGAGAGGTAAAACAAAAAAAGGTGGGTTTGCAGGACGTCTTTATTTTAATATCAACATCACCTGTAATGATTAAAACAAAAGAAATCATACAATCGATAAAATCTACTGACACTTAAGATTTTTGTATTTTTAAAATAAATCGTCATACTAAATTAAAAACGCGTAGTTGTTACAATTTATAATCAAACATGCTCACCCATCAATATTAACGACGAACCATATAATTCATTTATTTGCACAATATTATATTTCATCTTTTCAGACAAATAACCTCTCTCTTTTGCATTTAGGAGATCATGATTATGGTAGTAATTAGATTAAAAATTTGATTTAAAATACTTTTAAACAACGAAATCAAAGGAAGTTGACGTTACATAAATATCAAAAGAATACGTTAAAGAATGTTTTATCGGTCTGTAAAAGATGGTTTCAACCTTTTAAAAATGATTTAAAAACATCGAGGAGATTGGGATCAATATTTTCCAGGGGAAAAGGGAGTAATTAATAATATTGGTAATATACAACTCGGGTTTAATTATCTTATTGATTTTGACCACGAAAGAGGCGGTGAGTTGATATTTGGGTCAGATTATGGGATTTATATTGCTATAACTAGACAAAGTACAAGTTTAGGAAGGGAAGTTGGTTATGGTGAGATGCAAGAAGCTCTTATACGTAAAAATTTTGCCGAAGAGAAATATTTAAATAACGCGGTTAGAGTACTGAGAGCCAGTTATATAAAGGATCGAACAATTGAGTTTGAAAATGAACAAGATGAAGAAATTGCTAGATTAATTGAGATCGATGATGGTATTTAAATTAAATTAATTCAATTCATTCATCATTTGTAACTTTTTTTTTTATATATATATATATATATTTTTTAAAATAAAAGGGATTCTAAACATTGTGTTTTCACGTTTATTTTTGTTTAATGCTTCTTTGTTTCATTCTTTTTTTATTTAATGTTATAATTCTTTATTAATTTGTAAACAACAATAAATACAATATATTTTATTATTTTCATTATGATAACTTGAAAATTATTATAATACAACATTGACGAGATTATAATACTCGATAATACTCGTAAATGAGATGATAAGCTCCATAAAAACTTTTTCTAAATTCGGTATAATCTTGAATGAATCTTTTATTTCACCCAACCAATTGACACGAACTAATAATACTCCACATGAGCCTAGTCACCTGCTTTCATGTTTTATTGATCGTAAAAATCCTAAGATTTTATTTTTATTTTTTATTTTAAATAAATAAAAATATATATTTGCTAAAAATTGAATCTGGTCAAATATTTCCTAATGAGAAAAAAAAAGTAAGGTTTTTTATAAGCGTAGGATTCGTTTCTCAATCCTTATCAACAGAATGAACCAAGTTTGATCATTTTTATGTAAATCTTTTTGTTTTTAATATACTGTATCTTGCTTTGATATAACCACAACCAAAAATGTCAAAATAAATTCCTCCGCATAGGTAACGTGGAAATAAAAAATCTGCAATGAAAATGTTGAATTATTCAGATTGATTATGGAATTTCATAACTTATCACAATATTTTCACATACAAAAACATTCTTTCTTTTTAAATGCCATTGTTAGTAGAATCACTATTAATTATAAATTTCTTTCTTGTGAAAATATTTAAATTAAAATATTGCATTTATTTATTTATTTATACTTTTGCAAATTGATTGTTCAGAGTTTAGACGATACTGCAAAAGACGTTCCATATAAATTTAATCTCATATTTCGTGACACTAGAAATTGTTTGATTCTGCAACGTCTTCATTATGTGGATACAAGAGAGGACGCCACAAATCCAAAGTAAATTATAGGTATTATAATCCTTTAGATATGATTCAAAATAATCAATTAGCAAATATAAGCTATAGCATTGTGTCTAACATAACAGATAGTAATAATCTGTGTTTTTTGATTTTCAAACATTATAACAGTAATTATTGGCAGAATTGATCGAAATAATTAAACCTAAAAAGTAACAAAGTTACATTTTGCGTACTAAAGAAATTAGCTTATCTGCTATTAAAATAATTGCATATTTATAATGATCCGTATAGCGTCATGCTGATAGGAAAGTGAATCGATCCCAAAAATACTTGTGTTTACGGTATAGTTTCAAACATAATAATTTCTTGACCATACATCACATGAATAACATACTTTTGAACGAAAAGTCTTTTTTAAAAGTTATCACATTTGCGCTGAAATTTTTATTAATTGAAGGAAAATTACCGTTAAGCTAGAAATGCAATGACTGACCGGATGATACGGTTAAAAAGAATAATATCTTAATTACAATTCTTCATTAAAATACCATCGGGGAAGCAACAATTGAAGAAAATATAGCTCTTCCGTCTCACTAATAGTATCTTCCAAGGAGTCTCTTCTTTGAAGTTCGATACGATTAGCATTCCATTTCTTTTAATAATTGATAGAAATTTTTGATACTAAAAGATCTCTTTACTAATAATTTATGCCAATTACCTTTAGTTTTTCGTGTTGATGAAATAAATCATAAATTTTTTAGTTGTTGACCTTAACTTTATTTTGTATTAACTCTTTATATTTTAATTATAAAATTGGGAATAAATTATTCTTACAACATGAGACACATTCACTAGACTATTTTTCGATTATATTAACAAGATTGAAAGTTGAGACTAAAATTAAAAGTAGAAAGCTAAATCTACCCCTCATTCGATTAAAATATATATATGTTAAGATCATATGATTTACAAGTCTGATTTATTAGAAAGGATATATTTTCTTTATTTTGTATATAAATAGTATTTAGATTACAAATGATTCTGTTGGACATTATTACTCCATTATGAATTAGCTTTTCTTTACGACCTGAAATACTTCATATTCATCAATGACGAAGGTGCTTGGAATGCTAATGTTAGTATACGTGTGTCCATTATTTGCATACCAATTATTTCCTTGTGCACGCAAATCATTTCCACCACCAAAAGTTGGTCCATATCTAATGTGATGGAATAACGCATTCTGATGGTTTTGAAAAACACGACCTATTTTTGCAGAATTGAGGTTATTACTATCTGTTAGGTTAAACAAAAAGCTATCCCCTGTATTTGCATATTGACCATTCTGATACCAATTCAAAGGATTATAACCACCGATAATTTGCTGGTAACCATTAACTCTTGCAATTGATATTGTGGCACCCTTGCTATCACATAATTGATGAAACTTTGCGGAATCAAAACCATCCCTAGTACCACGAAGAAGGAGATTAAATTTATATGGAACGTCAGTTGCGGTATAATCTTCACTTCTTTTATCGATCCACTTCGCAAAAAGCTTAATTAAATCATAATTGATCAAAACAGAATTAATTATAATAGAATCAACCCTGGGATTCCTAGAAGCCTTGAAACTAAACGCAGGAGTAGAATTTGGGGCCAAATGATAACGAAGGATGTCGCTGAGCAAATCTTGAGGTAAAAGATCTTTGTACGGATACACTTTTAAGTAAAAGTCTTCCTTGGAAATATCATGGAACCTGATGAACGGAATGTATTCTTGTATAGTCTGTTTAACGTTCGTTAAATCATCCGATGACCACGATGATTCGTCTTTACCGATTTTTAAGTAATGAACAAAAAGCCACCTAAGGACCGCTTCCCATATTTCAATTTCTTCCATTTTAAGGTCATCTCTTTGAAGTACCATGGTAATAATTGGTTTTTCCAAAGACGAAAATTTTTGAGATGCAAAGAGAATTTTAGGATCTGAACTAATGATTTTAAGGCAACAATCTTTTTGGGTTTTTAATGTTTCATGTTGATAAACGAATTCGAGTGTGCCAACAGGATCCTTACGTAAGAATTCTTGATTTTCAATCAAATATTCCTGAATGTTATCAATCAACTTAATTAATCCTAATTCATCTGCCGCAACTGATAATTGCAAAATTACATCCTCATGGAGTTGATCATAATCTACAGTTCCCGTGTATAAATACCTAAGGGAAAATTTTTAATCATCATAAATAAAATGTGAATTATTTCGTGATTTATTTTTTAAACAAGATAAAATTATTTGCTTACCTTAGAATTATTTGGAAAACTTCAGGAGAAATATTTGATTTTTCAAAAATATAGTCACCTTCATCGTTTTTTTTCTCCCAACTTTTGGATAATGCACTTTTAAAATATGAACACCTAGCCCGAAGAACAAATGAATGCGCTCGAAGTTCCTTGACATCAGGGTATTCTCCAGCCTTGATGATTACATTGTAGTCGTCACTATCCTCAAGAGCTTTTTCAAAATCTTGAAGAACTTCGGAATCGAAATAATATCCAACTTCCATGTTTCTGTATATACGTAGGATTATAATGATATCAACTCGATTCATTTAAATAAAAAATTAACGTTGCTCCTGTCATATACTGCTTCATATGGCCTAAATAATGCATTATGACGCAAATCTTATTAATTTAAGGTTTATTTATTTTTAAAAAATTACTATTTCTACCACCTCTGCGAAGATCTATAATGGCGTTACATGCAAAAGAGTAGATTTGCATAATGGAATATGTAATTACCGTACACAAGACAGAAAAGTAACTTTCTGCACCATAAAATAACATGTGATAACCCTTTGTGGAGACTCAATAACAACTTGCGCCATACTTGATTGAATATCAGAAAAGCATATCCCGAATCTAGTTTAACAAGATTAACAAGGTACTGATTTAACTCCTAGAAGCATTGTCTTCATTAAAAGATGTGGTTGATATTCAAAAATTCTTGCTAATTACTCAATATAATTTAAATTGATATTTATTAACCACGCGAAATTTAACTTTATATTTTATCTTTTTTATAATGTTTCTTCTTAACTAAACGATTCATGAATAATTGGAAAAAGAATAAATAAAAATATAATATTTCTTTTGATAAAAATCAAAAAATCAAATATGAAAGTAAAATCGATTTATTTTTTATTACACGTTTTCATTCCTTAACAAATCAACAGGTCTGAATGACCGGTCTTTAATATTTGAAAACAAATCTTTTATTATCCAAAGTCCATTTCAACATTTATGTGACGTATTGTTATTGAGTTTATAATAAATATCTCTCTCGTGAGTTTAAAATTTTAATTATCGGGACCACCAATAGAATTATTTAGAAATGATGAAAGGATATATTATAATATCTGCGTCAAAAAGATTGATGATCGTAACTTATGTAATACTCTTGTGTCTTTTTGTTTGCTGATCGGCCGGTCATGCAGATGTCGTGTTGATATTATTCATATAACAAGAATTGCAGCCTATCACAAATTATGCTTGACCAACAATTAGTTTATATTAAGGCAAAGCACAATAATTATCATGACTCTGCTTCGATTGAAGCAAATGTCAATAATCCTATCATTTAATTCAACGCATTTAAACAGAGCCACGTGTCATTCCATAATAATGGCCCAAATGATAATATGGTTTGTGAATCAATCGGGTGTTAAAGGGAGATTGATATTTTTCAGCATTTGTACGCTCTTAACAGGATATATAATTGGAAGTTGTGCCAACGCGCTTGTTCAACGTGCAGGATAATCACAGGAGATTTCTTTAGGAATTGACTTGGAATCTATAAACAGATTGAATCAAAGTTCCTATTCTAATGATATATAAGAATTTGATTCATGTGTAAACATAGCCTTTGAATAAAACAATAATAGTTACAATTTAGAATATATAAAGTAAACATTTTTGCTAAATAAGGTGACTCTACAACTTACTCTATTGTATTGTTAAAATCTTCCTTTCGTTTTATTCTTTCTAACATATTTATAGTATAATACTGTATAATCTCCATTATAAAAAGAAAGATTTATGGTGACTTGCATATATTATTATTTTAGTATTTGATTACGTGTCGTTTGGATCAATGTTTTTTTGATTCAAAATGTTCGATTTGTTTACGCGTCAATATACCTTCATTTTTTCATTTTTCATTTCATAAAAGGTTGCCTGGTAAAACCCTGAGGTTTCAATATCGTTTGATGTTTTGACAATTTTTTTTTAAAATCAAAACCGCGAAAGTTTCGATGCATGGCAAAGGGTTGCAAATTTTCGACGGGTAATAAATTCATTACATGATTAATTTTCAATTACAAAAATAATATTCCCTTTGGGTACATTTTAATACAACCTTTTGGAAATCTGGAAAAAATTTCTTTAAATTTAGAATTTAAATTTAGGTCAAAATTGTTGAAGCCATAGAAATTCAACGAAATCTGTCCTTACACATGAAATTTTGAAGGTTTAACAAAATTAAAAATTTGCGATAAAAATAATAAATATAAGAGATTGGCTATTAATTATTAAAATCACGTTATCAACTATATATTTCCATAATTAGTATTGGATAATGAAGATCATGAATCCCATAATCCCACATTTTTCACATTTCAATATAAATAAGTACAGATTTCATTTGTCTATTCCTTACATTCGTTCTTGCGAAATAGATATATCTATAGGCTGATATCTTTGGATAAAGATTTTTAACGAGGTAAACTGCGCTCCCTGTTTTACCATAGTTTTAATGATACAGTCTACAAGATTGTTAGCATAGCGAGGCTCAAGGAATAGTCGCTTAAAGGAATTTGCTTCCCTAGACATGGAATGCGAGTGTGTCACTCCCTGCTAACTTTTACATTATTTATTTTCTTTATAATAGATTATCTTGCCTTGGGGTCGATTTGCACCATATAATCCTTTTTCATAGTTAGTGTTTATGCACCCTCTTGTGATGTCTATAGGCTGACTCTAGCCCCATAGGGGTCGATTTGCACCATGTAGTTCTTTCATAAGTGGTAAGGATTTATATATTATAGCGGGTGGTGTGTGATTAGAGGGATTGATTTTGGATTAAACATAATAAAAAAAAATTACTATGTAAATATTGTTTACTGTTATAGTAAGTTAATAAAAATATTTTGAGTTTAGTATTTTTCACTCATTTGTTATTCTTTGCTGTGGCAAAAATTCCTTCGTTTCCTCCAGAACGAGTTCCCGAAGTATGCTTTTCAAACGATTATTATGTTTGCAATGATCATAAGGTTCATTAATACATTTTTTCCGACAAAGAGAACGATGATTAAAACCAATTTTAATCAAAAAAAATACTTCGAGTAAGAGTCATCGAAATCTGTCGAAATCTGCCGAAGACATTATTATCTTATAGGATTCTCGTTGGTTAAATAAATCATAAATTATTAATTGTTGACTTTATCTTTAATTAATTTTCTATATATTATTTAACATAAATTATTCTTAACAAATAATTTTAAATCTAATATTTCTTTACTAACGCAACATTTAATTTATCTCAAAAAATTGACAAAGTTACGAACAGAAAGTAAATATCCTGCTTTAAGTCGATCAGGGGAAATACATTTTCTTTATTTGTAATAATCAAAACACACATGAATTTTTTATATATCAAAGGGAATATCTAATATTCTTCAGGCATGTTAAAATTAACTCTTCAACACAACCTGAAATACTTCATATTCGTCAATGGTGAAGCTGCTTGGAATGTTAATATCAGTATAAGTGTGTCCACGATTACTAACATTCCAACTACATCCTCCTTGTGTAGTCAAACCATATCCACCACCAAAAGTCGGCCCATAACTACTGTGATAATATACTGCATCTTTATGATTTTGAAAAACACGACCTAATTTTGCAGTATCGAGGTTGTTGCTGTCTGTTATGTTAAACAAAAAGCTATCACTCGTATTTGAATGTTTACCATGCTGATCTTTATTCTGATTTACAGGATTATAACCACCAATGATTTGCTTTGAACCTTTAACTCTTGTAACAAATAAAGTTACACCCTTGTCATCACATAATTGATGATATTTTGCAGAATCAAATCCATCTCTAGTACCACGTAAAAGTAAAGTAAATTTATATGGTATTCTCGTGATATAGTTTTCATTTCTTTCATAAATCCATTTCGCAAAAAGTTTAATTAAATCATAATTAATCAACTCGGAATCAATCTTTGGATACCTAGATGACTTGAAACTTAACGCAGGAGTAGAATCTGGGACCATATGACAACGAAGGATATCACTGAGCAAATCCTGAGGTAAGAAGTCTTTATATGGATAAACTTTTAAGTAAAAGTCTTCCTTGGAAATATCATAAAATCTGATTAACGGAATGTATTCTTGCATAGTCTGTTTAATATTTGCGTAATCTTCTGATGACCATGCAGAATCATCTTTACCGATTTTTAGGTAATGAACAAAAAGCCACCTAAGAAGCGATTCCCATATGTCAATTTCATCCATATTAAGATAATCTCTTTGAAGTACCATGGTAATAATTGGTTTTTCCAAAGATGGAAATTTTTGAGATGTAAAGAGAATTCTAGGTTCTGAACTAATGATTTTAAGGCAACAATCTTTTAAGCTATCAAATGTTTCATGTTGGTGAATGACTTCAAGCGTGCCAACAGGATCATGATGTAAAAATTCTTGATTATCAATCAAATATTCCTGAATATGTTCAATCAATTTACTCAATCCTAATTCATCTGCTGCAATTGACAATTGTAAAATTACGTCCTTGTGTTGATCATAATCTACAATTCCCGTATATAAATACCTAGGAAAATTTGTAAGCGAATAAATAAATGTGAATAATTACTTGATTAATTATTCAAGTTACAATGATAAAAAAAAAAAATTTAATTTACTTGCCTTAGGATTATTTGGAATACTTCAGGCGAGATATTTGATTTTTCAATAATATAGACACCTTATTCGTCTTTTTTCTCCCAATTTTTGGACAATGCCCTTTTAAAGTATGAACACCTAGCACGAAGAACAAATGAATGCGCTTGAAGTTCCTTAACATCATATTCTCCAGCCTTGATGATTACATCGTAGTCTTCACTATCTTCAAGAGCATTTTCAAAATCTTGAATAACTTCGGAACAATAATTGGATGCCATTTTTAAAAATATTCGTTTAAATTATCAAAGTCGAAAAAAAAACCTCGAAATAATCAAAGAATGAGTTTTTTCAGTTGAATTTGTTAAAGGTTTTATTATTGTATGAAAACTTATAAAGATTTTAAAATTTAAATAGTCTTTATTTGAATAAAAAAAAAAAAAAATTAAAACAGATAAATAAGTATTTATTATGATCGAAAAAACAAAAAAAATTGAAAAATTTATTTTGTTATAACGCGCTTTTTTTCGCGCTGAACACATTTTCACTTTTCAGGTCAATCCTGCATAGTGTTACGGCAGTAATCGACGCAAAAGGAAGTTTGTGATCATTTATAAATTTCAAATTTCATTTGCGAAATTTTCGGAAGGCAATCCATTTTTTGATTTTTTGAACCAAATTGCACGTGATATTTTTTTGTGCATTGCGCAACAAGCATTTGTTCATAGGTACACTTTTAAATAAAACGTTGCGTCATAAATTTGGATTCTTTATTTATATTGTACAAAAACGTTTCCTAATTAACTTTTGAAAATTATAGTTTTCGATAATTTTTGCAAGAGGTTCGTTCAATTACTTACAGTAAAAGATTTGCATAATTACAGGAAGTTGCTAATCATTATGATAATTGTAAATGATCGCATTCAATTTTTGAATGCAACATTTATTTAAGCGTTACTACTTATAGATAAGTGATCAACTGGTTCTATAATTAGAAATTTCTAAAATTGTTCAAAAGTCAAAATTTTTACGATTTGTCAAACCCAATGGATTGCGTATGCAATTTTGCCCAATAAAACGGATCAGTTCTTTAATGACCAAAATCTATAAACCTACGTTCGAACAAAATAAGCCTTCTTTTTCCATTCGGAATGTTGAGTTCATTTCCGATGATGAAAATTCGAATTGATTTTTAACATCCGATCCAACCATTAGAAACGAACTGACCTGATATAATATGATGATATGATAATGATCGAAGCGTGCAAATATTAAAGAAACGTCTTACAATACGTAGGAATCGGGAATTCCAAAATTCGATGTAAATCGCTGTGGATTCTGCCGGAGGTAAATCAGCTTCGTTACTTGATATGGCATTCATAATCCGAAGAACCAATGAGCTTTATGTGTTTTATCAATTTATTAAAATAACGGCAGTGTGATCAGTGTGATATCAAAGGGGATGCATATTTTAAATAGTTTTTTTTATTTTCGCCTGTGCTGAATTTTCATTTCCTCCCCTTGTTTCCCGAGATAACATCCCTTTCTACATTTTACTTTTGCATGTCAAAAAATAAAAATAAAAAGATGTCAAAATTACCATTTGAATGTCTACGAACAATATTTCATGAACTTGATGAGAAGGCATTATATTCTAGCATCCTTGTAAATTCTACATAGTGTCAAATAGCAATTCCACTTTTATGGTCTTCTCCGTTTCATTTTCTTCACAAAAGTGATAATAATTTCTCCATGACGGTTTATCCAACTTGTTTGAATTCAGTCTCTTCAACAATATTGGCACAAACATATTTACGTTGCTTTCCCGAATCCATCAAAGCTTCATTAATTGAAAATGGATTAATGCTTCCACCATCAATAATACAATCATTACCACCGTTATTTCCTTATGACAAGTATATTAGATCAATTAGTTACTCCAAAATATTTTACGTAATAAGCGAATGGTTTGAAACGGAAATTGATGATTTAGAAGATATTGATGAAAGGGAAGGTTTAGAATATTTGGTTACAGAAAAATTAATTCGTTTATTCATTTCTTCATCTCATTCGATAACGGATCTTTCATTAACGGATGAAGATGGGATACCTTCTCTACCACCAATTTCTTTATTTCCAAATGCAGAAAATTCTTTAAGTAAACTTGTAAAATTTACTTGTATAGGAGATTATCAGTATAATATGAAAGATTTATTTATCTCGCTAACGGGAATGTCTAGAAATATCAAAGAAATAATTATCGGAGGTCTTTCCACTTCAATCGAAATTAAATTATTTGGTAAATTAATTAAGTCCCAAAGAGCATTAAAGTCAATCGAAATACTTGGGAATGGTCCGATTGATTTACAAATGATTTCTTTAGATATTTTACAACCATTAAAAACTCAACAATATTCTCTAGAAAATATTAGATTCATGAATTGTGATTTTGAGGAATGTGCTACTTTATATCCCATTACATTTCTTCCAATGTTGAAAAGTATTGAATTTGAAAAATGTAGAAATTTAACATTACAAGATTTAACATCCTTAGATATGAAAAATTTACCTAAACTTCAGATATTTAAAACGCGTGAAAGTTACATACCACCGTATACCCTTGAAGCGATCATTTGTAATTCACATGATAGTTTACGTGTAGCCGAATTAAGTCGTAAGTTATCTCAAGATGAATCCAGAATTCTATTATCAAGGATTCCATCACGTTGTACACGATTAGAAGTTTTAGACATTAGGATATATCAAGAGGACGTTGGAAGTTTCTTAAATTTATTGAAATATTGTGAAAATTTAAGGGAATTGACTGTATTTGGAGATGTTTATGCTGAGGATTTGCTACCTTCAATTTCTTTAAATTTACGTTCAAAACACTTACAAAAATTATGTTTTATTGGAAGGTGGGTTTTTAGTAATGTTAGTATGAACAATTTCCTTCAAGGTTTTAAGTCCAAAGAAAAATTTCCAGAACTACAGGTATCTCAAGGACAAATCAATGACGATAGTGAAATTATAAATCATGAACGTATCATAAATTTTAAGCCTCCGAAAATTTTAAAATTTCAATCAAATGATGTGATTAATAATGATCATTTGGATGCTATAGTTGGGTGGGTTTTTAATGAAAAATCTATTAGGAATGGCAAATGTGATTTAGAGAAATTGGAACTTGTTTGGTGTCAACAATTATCTCAAGCCGCTCTTCAACAAATGAAAAGTTTATGTGGACTTCTTGTTGAAATAAAGAATTATTAGAAATTTAATATGAAGTAATCTTTATAAAATTAATTTAATAAAATCTAATCAAAATCTTTCATCAAACATCTCAGAGAAAAAATAAATTATCCTGTGTACCTTATTACTTTACCAAACCAATTAAAATATAACTTGATTTTTAAATTCAGATAACTTTTAATAGAAATTGATTTAATTGGAAACTGTATAAATTGATCTGTTAATGTTTATCCTGATATTTTAAACTTGTTAAGATGCTAGCAGAAATATGCTCAATATTCTAAACAGTACAATAATATAAAATATTATATTTATATCAGAAAGTTATCTGACTAATAAGGTTCCAGAAATAATATTTGAAAATTATTTTTTCATAGATAATCAAATAATTGTTTTTATATTTGATCCAATTCATTTATATATATTATTATTATTTATACAGTAGTA